GACGGCCTTGACTGCCATCTGCAACACTGCAGCGTCGCTGGTGCCAGTGTCAAGCTCTGTCCTCAGGATCTCGTACGCGCGTCTGAGCGGTGCGTGGTATCTTTCTACCTTGCCGATAGACCAATGGGCCTCGGTTGGCACTTGTTTACATGTGATTCCCATGATCTTCGCCTCTGATCTGAATTCGACTGACGCGAAGTTGGTGCCGGCGTCGTGGGTGACGATATCTGGCGGCCCTTGGTATGTATCAATCCAGAGCAGGCGGAGTGCTTCCCAGGTGTCTTTCGCGCTCATAGACGGTAGAAATCGCGCGCCGTTGAATGTTGTAGCCGAATCGATCACGTGAAGCACTGGTTTCCCACTCAGATACATCACATCTACGAGGATCTCGAAGTTGAATTCCCGATCATCTTTCAGCCTAAACTTGAATCGGCGCGGCGCTGGATCATGCGCTTGGCAGTGATGGCAGAACGTTTGGATCTCTCGGAGCAGCCGTTCATCCACGTCCTCGTGTCCTGCGCGTTTGAGCAATCGTATCAGCCGTTCGACGGCTGGATGCCCGAACCTCCGGTGTAAGCGTCGGAGCTCAGTCTCCGTAAGGAATACGCGCGCGCGCTCTGCCTTGCTTAGGTGGAACCACGGGTGTCCCCATTTGCGAATCACTGGAAAGGTAGCTTTTCCTTGTACCAGCTGGTCCGTAGTATTGTTGAAGTACACGTGGAGCCGGTCCATGTCTTTCAGACAGAGGAGAAACGGGGTGGGTGCGTTCAAGACCTCAAATTTGATCTTTCCAATCTGTGTCGATACATGTGCGGTTCCAATCGAAGTAGTGACGCTTCCTTTGCCAAATTGCACAGATGCGTTTCCAGCAGTAGACGTATCTAGAGTTACGGTGGGGTCCTCAGTTTGGAGCGCCCAGAACTGCTCCTTTCCGGCTGTCGATACATTTGAGGCACCAGTGTCAGGAAGAATGCCTTGGTACGTGATTCGCGAGTATCGATCCTCGATAAGGAACTGCGTTGCGGGCGTAATAGGCTCCTTGCACCTGTAGACGTCTTCTCCAGTCACGTGGTGCAAAAAGGCCTGATCTGTGAGGTACTTAACTGCCAATCTTTGGTCCTCATCATCTTCGTCTTGCTCCTCTAGGAAGAACTGGTCGACTTCTTCCCCCTCGTACGCGACGAGAAATGTGCTAAACTCCATTTGCTCTCCCGTAATCGCGCAGTGTGTGATGTACTGCGCTTTTGAGCGTTTTCTTTCTTCAAGCGTGTGGTTTGTGGACCAACAGCCTGTCTTGCCGCAGACGTAACATTTCTTGTCGATTTGTGTGTTGACTCCAGAGCGGTGCTGAAGCCCACCGCGTCCGCGGGTGAATCCGCTGCGTCCACCGCGAGGGTTGTAATTCCCTCGCAATCTTCCAGAGCTGTTGTTGTTGTACCGACGATCCAAGTAGTACTGGCTATCCGTATCCGCCTCAGTGAAGTTGACGGAGACGGTCATGGCGAGTGAGTTTTCGATTGACGATCGCAGATCTCCAAACAGAACCTCGCATTCTAGAGACGGCTTGTAGAGTGCCATCTCGAGCTCCTTCACGCCTCGGCATGCTGTGATTACAGTCGTTCGGAGCGCGTATTCTCCCATGTACTGCTGTCCAAGTGCTCTTTGACACAATTGGAGCTTGTCCAGCATGATGTCAAGGACCTCGTGGAGGTTCTTTTCGGGGTTCTCCCTGCGGACTTTGACAAACGATGTCGTCGTCCAGTCCGCGTAGTAATGGCCGTGGTTGACGTCTGTGTCGAAGTGGTTCTTGAGCTTTGTGTAGGCAGTCAAGAACGTATCCATCCGCTGATCGACGAAGTGGAGGTAATACTCCTCTGCGCGGCCGTCGAGAATCCGTGGAAAGACTGCATGGAACTGCCCTGGCTCGATGTCTGCGTGATAACAGATGCTGTAGAAGATCTTCAATTTATCGTCTAGGAGGTCGTACGGCTTTCCCGTATACTTTTTGTCTCGGTCCCACATTTTCACGAAGACATTGATCGTCTTAGGATCCAGTTTCTCATTGCCAAACTCGATTGGTGGAACTGCCTTGTACGGGTCTGTTTCACCAGAGGGCACAATTGGGGGAACGCTCAGTCCCTTCGGACGTTGCGGGTATGCTGGTGTATACTCGCGGAATCGGTCGAAGTTGTTGTAGGTGAGGGGAGGTTGCTGACTTTGGACGCGCTGATAGGCTGGCTGCGGTGCAGATTCAGTTGTCTCTACAGGCTGGCTTCGGATTGGTTGGTTTTGGGCTTTCTCAATCGTTTTTGCTAGCTGGTCCTGAATCTGTTGTTCTTCCTCAACGGTCTCCTGTCGTCCTTGCACACGGGCGTGGGTCTGGTCTTGATCGCGGGTTTGCCGACTGTCTACGTCTCGGCCTCTTGTCCTTACAGGCGTTTGGGTTCGGCTCTGGGCCTGGCTTGATAATCTCCTGTCTGTGGACTGTACTGATCCTTCACTGCGTTGTTGCCGTAGTGCCCGCTCTTGCAACATGTGCGCAGCTGATCGTGTGTCAAACACAGCCGACTGGAATACGTCCTGAGGCCATTCTAGGTACTCCTCCATGCGTAATAACCTAGCTAGAGACTCACTAGGTGCCATATTAATACGGCCAGTATACACTCCCTTAAAGCGGAGGATCCGCTTTAGTTCCTTTGTGTATATTGGCTGGGCACGTAGGAACATTGCCTCTGTCCATCCTTCAAAGTCCTGACGGAACTCCCAAAAGAGTTCTTCATCTGCTGTTGGTCGATCTGTATAGTCCGCAATCGCACGCGCAATGTACGTTGTTGCTGTAGTAATCCCTACCTCATCGTCTGGAGCTTCAACGTTGTCCTCCCAAATCTCTGGATCGATGTGATGCCATTCTCTTGGTTTTATGTTTGTGGTCCCTAGTAGCGCCTCTAGTGTGGGTACCACTCTTCTACTACTGCTCGCCATTCCTACTGCCGGTGTCCTGGCTACCGGTGCTCTTTCCGATGATGTTCTCTCTCCTGCTATTGTGTTCTTGTTGACGCTTGTTGCGCTAGCTGCGTTCGCTAGAGATGCGTCGGTGGTCGTGGGTTGTACACGGGTCAAATCTCAACCGGTCGGTTGGCGCGTGTATAGACGGCGTCTTGGAACGCTTCTGATACGGCTGTAACGGTCGGTCGCTAGCCACGAACGACGCCTGATATAGCTAACAGTGAGCTTAGCATAGATAACTCCGCCTTGCTGATATAGGCAATCTAGGGAACGCGCGGGGTAAAGAATCTATCTCTTCTTAACCTAACTGTCTGTGACTGCCGTGCAATCACTGATCAGTGTTGGAAGGCCTTGTACGATCGTACGGTGAATAACAGTAGCTAAGGTAATCTTGTGTATTGGTATTCTGGTGTATGATGATTCTACGAATGTGGGGGCTACGAAGGTATACATAGCGTTGGGTCCGAGTTGGGCCGAAGTAGGATCGAGGCGGTACATTGGGCCTTATTAGGCGACACACCGTGTGTATGCCGACAACAATCTTTATGCTTGTTTGTTTAGTAAAAAAAGCTACCTATGTTTGATTTGTTTGTTTGGTAGTTACCAAACAAACAAATCAAATATTTGATTCATGTTTGTTTGTTGCGGAGTCTGGCGATAGTGGCTGACGCTACTGTATTATTATTGCACTAGTTAGCTCTACGTAGTTAGCTACTTATGTCTAAGTCTGTTTCGCCAAGAACAGAAGAGAGGTTCTAAAATTGCTCGTAACTATCCGCTGTAATTGTACTAGAGGAGTCTAGGATAAGCTGAACGGATATCGCATTATTATCTACTAGGAGGGAACTCTGAGGATCCTTTAGAAAGGGTGACTCGTAACTAAGTAGGTCAATGTCCTGTTTGATCTACCTCCGCTTAATCTCCGCCGAAATAGCTTCAGCCTAGCGTCTAGTGCCTAGGTTAGTAATCCTTCCCTAAGGATTACTTAGGGTTCCCTAGTTAAGTTGCGATCTTTTATTAAGATAACACTATCCTTTGTCGACAAACCCTCGGAGAGTCGGACAGTTATTCTTCTAGTGACCTGTCTTATCGCAAACCTAGCATAAGAAACCTGCCCTAGCTACTTAGCTATACTAATTGTTCTGGTTCCCGTAACCTATCTTAGGTTAAAAGGTCTGCGAGTTGTTGCTATAGTTCTAATAGCCTATTAGTCGCTAGTTTAACTGCTAATATCCCTGCTAGCTTTACTGCCCTTGCGTCTGCTGATAGTTCATCGCATTGTTATACCGAGGATTCTGGGCTGGCGGCGCCAGATACGCCTGCGGCATATAACTACGCAGAGCTGTTGCTCGCTCATCGGCCTGCCTATTAACTTCTCCTTAAATAACCTAATTTGCTATTAGCTCCGCTTCTCTAGGCGTCTACTGCAGACTCTAAGGTTCTATCTCTAGATTTGCTTTATTTAGTTTAAGTTAAAGCATCTTGTCTATAAGCCCGTCGACTTTATTCTTAGTTAGCGCAGATCCTGGCGGCAGCTGTTTCTGAGCAGGCTTCGGAGCTGGTTTCTAGTTATATTCTCGCAGAGGGATGTTCAGCGAGGGCGGCTAGAAGATCAGCTTCTAGTTAGGGATTGCTAGTTGCTTTAGCAATTTGGCCTGAGCTTCTTTCGCTGCTGCAATGTTGAACTCCGCTTCTAGTTCAAACTCCTTAATTACTTCCGCGGGATTAAGTATTCGCGTATCCTCTTCTACTTCCATTCTCTTCGAAAGGTAATTAGAGATTTTCTTGTAGTTAAAAGATAGAGGCGAGTTAGTGCGAAGTTAGAACTTCTCTAGGACCCTAGTAGCTTGCTTTAATAGGAGTCCCTTAACTAGGTAAAACCCTCTACGGCCTTTTTTGATTGTGCTAGACTCTATACAGCGCTTGCTACGAATATAGAACTCCTGTAGGTACTCTAGGGTGCTGAGTTCTGTTCGGGCTTGGCATTGGGCAAGCTAGTGCTCGAAGTACTCCGCCCTAACCTCTTGCTGGTACTTGTCATTGGTGCGAAACCTCTTCTTGAGAGCTGCTCGGAGAGTCGACCAGTCCGCTGTTTGTAGAGACTCCTCGTACTCATCAGAAGCTTGGATGATAGCCCTCTGCTTGGCTTTACAATGGGCAGTTAGACGTTCAATCATTATTTTGCTAGTGAACTCGTAGTACTTGGCCATATCTTCAAAACGTTCTAAAAACAAGGTAACATTGTTGCCGTCGAACGTTGGGACACTGTCTGCAGGATACGGAGGCAGCTGGGACGCATAGACTAGAGTAGAGCTCCGGCTTGTCTCATTAAGCTTTGTTAGAGACTGCGCCATCATCTGAAGAACCTTCGTCATGCCATCGTCCTGCGTTGCCTGGGCCATCGCTGGCTGCTGAGGGTCTACAGTGGTATGGATCCGAGGGGAGTTCGCTGATTCCGTTGAGGGGCCCGCAGCAAGGCGGACACTCATCATCTCTACGGAGGTGCCTTTCAAAAGTCCTTGCCCACCTTGGCGAGCAGGGGTATCAGCCACATTCTTAATTCGGACATATCTCCGATAGAGTCTCATTCTCTAAGCCTACGTAGATTCCTGCCTTCCTTATACTTATTACCGCCTTTAAGTCTAATAATCTCCTTTATGTGAACTGGTATACGCTTAATCCACGCTTGGATCTTCTCTTGAGGCAGATCTCTCTAACACTGCTCCTATACACGGATAGCTTCTGCTCTACTCTTTGGCGCGCCTTTCTTTGTAGTAATCCTCTTTATCTACGCCCAGCACGGCTTAATAGCGTTTAGATTAGGCGAGTTGCCACACTAGAGTAGCTTTGCAACGTCGTATAGGTTGTATATATACGCCTGTACGTGGTGATTATGATTAGGTGCCTTATCTTCTTGGACAACTATTCCAGGACGCTCAGCCTTACACTGCCTCGTAAAAGGTATAAGCTTCGGCAGTAGAATAACTGTCTGATATCGATACTAATTAATGCCTGAGCCTCTCCCTCGGCTAAGCTTCCTAGTTTTTGCAGTCCATTTCTACTGAGGCTTCTGTCCAGGCTTGTTACGTAGGTTAAGCCGACGCATACCTACTTTAAGCTCCTATTGAGCTCTCATGATCGGCTTAAGGTCTCGATTAAGATTATTAATCTGTGCAGAAGCAGTCTCCTTCTCTTTTTTTGTCTCTGGCAACTAGTAGTGGCAAGGACCTTTCTGATTGTACGAGAAGCAGCCCCAGAACATGAACTTAGAGTAGCCTTTCTATCTTTTACGAATACAGCTCCGGACAAAGGCCTTATCTGCCTGTCTCTATACTCGATAGCCTCCGCGTCTGTGGTTTAAGACAACAGACGTCTTATTAGACTAGATGTCACGGTTTGGGGTCTCTCCTGCAGTCGCAACTCACATTTGTAATGGAACGATGCCTATTTGGGACTAGCACGGTTGACGTCACCTATCTACATAAACTTTCCATAGCTTGTACAATACAACCTCAGTTCAATCCTTCAATTCTCCGCACATGCGCACTGTTCACTCCACCGCAACAGTTATGAGCCCGGCTGCAACCTAGGATTGTTCTCACCTGCTGCTGCAATCGTCACTCTGCTCGAGTCGCACGTTGCTATACCGCGTTCGCCACAACGCACCTGTTACCGCGTTCACCCACGACGCACATTGCCTGGATCTCTGCCTTGATCCTTACACACACGACTACAGCCTCTGCAATGGCTACTAAGTCAGACCCAGCTGTGACGCGTGTCACTGTCATTCTCAACACACCGGACGACTAGTTTACCTAGTTGTTTATTCGCCGAGACGTTGCTAACCGCCACGGTCTCTGGCAGTACATCAATCCTAACGTAGCTAGGGAGCTTCTCCCTGAGCTAGCGGAGGCTCCTGAGCCTCAACTCATTAACTACTAGGCTGGAGCTACTAGGCTCTCTGACCTAACTGCAGACGACCGAGAGTCCTACCGATGGGAATGCGATCGATGGGAGCGCCGCCGCTCCGAGTACCGCACCTAGAAGAAGGCTCTGGCCGACCTAAACACGGACATCAGCAAGACGATTGCTGTACGCCACATAAATCTAATTAAGGATCACGAGACACCCTACGACCGGCTGGTCGCTCTCAAGAAGTTCCTTTGCCCAACCGACGCAACTCGCCGCCGCGAGCTTGCCGACAAATACAACGCTCTCAAGACTGCTCCACGAGCCACGAAGAAGGTCGAGCAATGGCTAGCCAACTGGACATACATTACCGCTTAGGGCAAGACGGTTAGTCTACCAGAGACTAACGGCAACCGACCGCAAGAGGACTTTCTGATCGCTTGCAAGGCACTCGATTAAGAGTACGCCACATCCTGCCTACGCGAGATCTTTAAACATGAAGCACGAGGCACCACTGCAGAGATCTCATCTCTTGAGACGTACGTCGCCGAGATGACCACATACCTACGCCGCACAAAGCCTCACTCTACTAGCCTGGCAGTCTCTGCTGCTAAGCTCGGAATCACGAAGCCGACTGAGACTCCATCAACTAGTCGAGGTTACCGTGATAGCGCTTCACAGTCCGCAACAATCAATTAAGTGGGTCCTAGAAGGTTCAGATTGGATTGATTGATTACCGCTTTAAGCCTAGTAGTTACCTATAGGAGTTTAAGCCCTACCTAGATAGGTAAGTGGGTCTAGGAGAGTGACCGGATTGAATTGATTGTTGCGGAGTCTATAGCGCTTAACGTGACGGCGCACGGCCAACACCTACCTGCGTCTGCGGGAAGAAGCATTAGTACACTAACTGCTTCATACTGAATCTACGCCACCTAGCACGTCTAAAGACCTATCAACCTGCAGCTAAGGCTGTACGCAAGGTTGAGGAAGCGCGGAAGGACTCTAAAATTAATGCGCGCATTAAGGCTGCTCTTGAGAGGTGGTTGACCCGCTAACCTCAGAGCAATGGATCACTGCGAGTCAATAACAGCGAGCCACCTACCAACACAGACACGTTCGTGATATCGACTAGCCCATTTCTCAAGCCTCTTCACGATGGCCACGACAGTCACAGCCGCGTCTGCCACGATAATAAGGTTGTCATTGCAATTGACGCTCGCACTAAGCCTGTAGAAGCCCTCACAATAATAGCTGTCGATAACACTACTTAGACTAAACTACGCAACCGATGGATTGTCGATCCAGGATCTAACACTCACGTCGTCAACACAGAGGCATAGAAGGGCTAGAGGAGGACGAGCGATAATCCAGAACGCCGCTCTGTTAACGCTGGCAATAGCTGTATTCTTATTACAGCTTAGGGCACGATAAAACTCGTCGCTTATACACTAAATAAACAGCTAACGCTAGAGCTGACGCACGTCGCGTACGTCGAAGGTTTCCTAACTAGCGTCTTAGGACTAGCTCGCTGCTAATCAGAGTCAATCTACTTCGACTCTAGCCGCGACGTCCTATACATGCGCCAACCATCGAACGTTATCGCGCAACTCGAATATAATGGAGGACATTGGCTTATTGATGCAGAGCCATCACGCCGACCACCACTGTCGCTTCTCCACTCACCGCTGAGTACGTTTGGGACATCATATCGCCCGTCGTACGCGCCAAAGCCTGCTAACGTCGTTAATCGGCGCGCTGCTTATCAGATTTGGGGCCACCTAGGTCGAAAGGCAGTCGACCAGCTCGAATCGAACGTCACTAGTATCCAATTGACAGGAGACCACATAGACTGTCTCTGCCAGACCTGCACCGAAGCTCGGATGACTCACATCATCTCGAGACGCCTGGCTGAGAGCCGCGCACAACGACCATTCTATCGAATCGCGATAGACTTGATCTACATCATCCCTATAGGAGAGGAGTGTATTGACGGCAGCAAGTACGCCGCACACTCTATAGACGAGTACTCAAAGTGGCATGAGATCGCCACAATCAAGCGAAAGGACAAGCCGACACTTACTCGTTGGTTTATGGCCTTAATCCGCCGAATTCAGCGCGTGTACGACGCGGACGTAGTCGCCATCCAATGCGACAACGAGAAAGGATTTGGCAATGATCTAATCAACACGACAGAAGAGCTTAGAATGCTCTACGAGCCTGCTCCACCTAGTACAAAGGAGCCGAATAGACTCATTAAGCGCGCAGGCGGAGTTCTCACTCAGCGAGCTCGCGCTATGCGCATACATGCTCACCTGCCCAAGAATCTATCACATAAGATGTATCGCACTGCCGCATACATCCTCAACCGCACACCTACCGAAGCACTAGGATGGAAGACACCGTACGAGATCGTATAGGGACGAAAGCCACTCGTCGCTCATATGAGGCCTATCGGCTGTCGCACCTACGTCTACAACCGCGATCTGAGAGCTGCCGACAAGCTTAAATCGCGCACTCTTATCAGCCACCTTGTTGGCTACCAAGGCACCAATATCTTCCGCATATAGCTTCCTACAAAGAATACTGTTATCGTCACACGCGACATCACATTCGAACCCACGCTCTTCTTTGATAGGATAGACGGCTACGCCTCTACGCTAGTAATCGAGGAGGTGATCGAGCTACTTAAGTATCTAGAGATGCCTCAAGACGACGATATCAGCATCGAGGACCTGTTGACCGCTCGTCAGCGTCAGCACAGTCGCCAAACAGCACCTGTGACCTCAGCTCCGACGGCTGGAGGCTCCCAGGTGGGGGGTGAGATGGCTGACGACGCACTCAAATCAAATCAACCTAAGGAGGACACAATACATGTAATTCCTAAGGGCTATCGCCTGCGAGGCGAGAAAGCGCCACAAGACGTTAATCTTAACCTAACCAACACGAACCTTATTGTCTCTAGCAAGCGAAGTCGAAAGCTAAGAGATCTAAATAACTTTGCTGTACAGGTCTACGCTAAGAGGCTAGGACCTGAGCCTCTAGTCGATTACCTGCGAGCTTTCTCAACCGAGATTCTCTGCGACAGGGCCTCCGCAAGCGCAGACAAAGTACCACGGATCCATCAATCACAGCTGCCGCCTCTACCGAAGTCAGAAAACCAGCTTAATACACACATGTTTGGCGATCAATTTCGACACGCTATAGAGATTGAATGGCGAGATCTACGTGCCAAAGGCGTCTTTGGACACACAGAGCAATCAAAGGCCACCGCAGATAGTGAGATCCTGCCGCTGATGTGGGTCTTCTCGTACAAGACGGATGGAGATAGATATCTCTCAAGGTTTAAGGCTCGACTCGTTGTCCGAGGAGACCTCCAAGCTCCGATAGACGATACGTACGCTGCTACACTCGCTATCCGCAACTTTCGCGCTCTTATCGCAATCGCTAATTACTTCGATCTCGAATTGAAGCAGTATGACGTCCCTACTGCCTTCTTAAACGCAAAGACTAACCGCAAGCTATACGCTGAAACACCTAAGGCCTTCCGCCATATTAAAGGCGAGATCATGCTGGTGCTCCGCGCCCTCTACGGCCTGAAGGAGGCACCAATCCTATAGTACAATGAGCTACGTCGACCAGACTCCGCAACAATCAATCCAGATTGGTCAGATTGATTGATTTGATTGGTCATTTGGAGTTTTTACCAACTCAATCAACTCAATCTAAGCTTTTCAAAATAGCTAATCAAATCAACTTGCGAAGGTCAGATTGATTGATTTGATTAGTTAGATTGATTTATTATTAACGAGTTGTAAGGCGAGTAGTGTCGTATTAAGAGAAGGTTTTTGGTGTTGAAGATAGTTATCTTGGACCCCTATCTCGCTTAGCTTGTGATCCCTGTCGGCCGGGCAAGCCAGTCTCTATGCATTCACTTCTCACCAGCTAGCTCTCCTCTTATAGGACTAGCTCCTTCTGCTTAGGGGCTAGCCTCTTCTAGGCTTCACCCCGCACCTATATAGCTAGTCCTTCGCTGTTCTTAATACAACAACGATTTCGCTCACTCAGTTCCCTAATAATCCCTTACACACAACACTAGTTGCCTAGCTACCTATACAGACATTTTTCTTTAGTGTTTAGTATCGCCCACGATGGCCAAACGCTCTCGAGTTCCCACCAATACTGCTGCCGCCGCCGCCGCCGCCAAACGGGCGCGCCTATCAAGGCCCTCTGTCCTATCTCAGCGATCGCTGTCGCCTCAGGAAACCCTTGGCGCCGCCGTAAGCCAGGCCACAACGTTTGAGTCGCAATTTTTCGAGTCGCAAACAGAGGAGGAGGGTGCGGCTGAGGGCAGCCAGGCTGGTACAGCAGCAACAACAGAGGCTAGTGTTGATACAGAGCCTGATAATGGCGACAACTTTGACGGCATTAACTGGGATCGCCTCCCTCGGTTCATGAAGCCTCTTACAACTGGGCGGCGCGTCAAGAGTTGGATCTTTCAACATGGATATCGCGTTGTTGAGCTCTACGATCAGAATCGAGTGTGGTTTGTATGCAAATACTGCCACATCCACAAGGTCATTGACACTGGCGGCAGTGGAGTTTTTGACGTATCAAAGGCCACCTCCTCAGCTGCAGCTCATCTTGGCCTTCAGAAACGAGGCCATGGCTTTACAAAAGACGGCCTGAAGCCTCGAAGAACAGGGCAGCAACTCTCTCTACGACAGACGCTGGAGACTGGTGTTGCAGTCTCTCAAGAGGCTGCCAACGCGATGGGCAACTTCAACATCCAGCAGTTTCGTGAAGTTGCAGTGTTCTGCCTTCTTGATAACAACTTGCCAATGGAGCTACTTGCAAGGCCGTCCTTTCGCGAGATGATTAGCCTTGCAAACCCAGAGGCAGAGGCAGCTTTGTGGGTAAGTCCTCGCAGTGTAGCTACCTACGCAATGCGCCTCTTCCAATATATGCAGCCACAGATTGTCTGCGCTCTGTCAGAAGCTGCAAGCAAGATCCACATAAGCTTTGATGGTTGGACGACAAAGGGTGGCAAGCGTGGATTCTTTGGAGTCGTTGCACACTTTGCTAACGCCTCTGGAGTGATACAAGATCTCCCCATCGCCCTCCCACATCTCGCAGGCTCTCATACTGGTGATGCTATCGCTGATACAATTAAAAAGACGCTCCAAGAATACAGTATTGGGAGTGATAAACTCGGCTACTTCGTCCTCGACAATGCTGCAAACAACGATACTGCAGTCTCCTCGCTCGCCCACGCGTACGACTTCAACGCTGCTCACCGACGCCTCCGCTGCGGCCCTCACACGCTTAACCTTATTGGCCAGGCAATTATCTTTGGCAGCAATCAAGAGGCGTACAACAACAACAACGACGAGCAGCTCCAAACAGAGGAGGTGTACATGCAGGAGTGGCGTCAAGAAGGGCCCTTAGGTGTACTTATCGACGTTATCAACCATATAAAAACGCCTCAACAACACGAAATTTTCCGAAGCTTCCAAACCGCCGCCAACGCCGAGTTGCCAGCTAGAGAGCGCCTCCACGTACTTGAGCCTGTGAAGCCTGTTGTTACACGCTGGAACTCTTACTACGCTGCCTTCAAACGCGCAACTCAACTCCAGGCAGCATACAACTCTTACGCTGAGCACTACATTAACGCACTCTCCCTTGAAGATCGCCGCGCTTGTCAACGTGGCAATAAACTCCCTGAAGCACCTAGTTGGATGAGATCAACAGGACTTACAGCTGCTGATTGGGCGGTGATAACAGAGTATCAGGACTGCCTAGAGCCGCTTAAGCTTGCTACGGAGAAGCTTGAGGGTCGCGGAAAGGCAGGCAAATACGGCGCTATATATGAGACTATTCCTGTATTTGAATACGTACTTGGCGCGCTCGAAGCCCGTACGCGCTCGTACGAGCAAGTTGACTTCAACCCACCTGATGCGCCTGAAGATCACCTCTTTGTTAACCTCCGCGCCGCCTGGAGTAAGGCCAACGATTACTACAACAAGCTCGATCGATCGCCAGCATACTACGCTGCTACCTGCCTCCATCCATACTACAAATACTACTGCGAGAACAGCTGGGTGGATAAGCCAGAATGGCTAACATCAGCCAACGCTGGCTTCCTGCAGCTCTGGCAGTCGTATAAGCCTCAACGTACACGTCCTCTATCTCAAACAACTGCAAAACCAAGGCATAGAGGAATAGATGATGTGATTGGCGCCCTCGTACGGCGCAACAAGGCTCAGGTAGAGGCTGCCCACGACGATGAGTACGAGCGCTGGAGAACTCAAGAGCCAGAGTGGACAAGCGAACAGTATCTTAGCGATGGCCACCCAGTCAAGTACTGGATTCAATTACGCTCAAAATACCCGTGTTTGAGCCAGTTTGCGATTGATATACTCACGATACCAGCATCTAGTTGCGACTGCGAGAGGCTCTTTAGCGAGCTTGGCGATTTACTTGAGCCGCGCCGGCGAGCTCTTGGCAGCGAGTTACTTGCTGCCCTTCAGCTTGTACGTTCGTGGAGACGAGCTGGCTTTGACGGCTTGTACAACAACGGTGATGATGAAGATAAGTGGAGTGACGTCAAAGATGAGGAGATTGTACAACAGTACGATATAGAAGGCTGGAGTACAACACCATAACCCCCTGTATACTACTTCTTAGCATCAATCAGCCAATCAACCAATCAATCGCAATCAATCTGCTCAAAAACCCTAACAATCAATCCGCAATCAATCAGCAGCGTCGCCGCAAGCTAATCAAACCAATCGACAACCTTAAGATTGATTGATTTGATTGTTGCGGAGTCTGACGTCGACAGCTTGTCAAGCTAGGTCTAAAGCTAGTCGAAGGCTTTCCTTGCTTGTACACGAGCCGCTGGCTTATCCTATTCGTCTACGTTGACGACATTGTTATGGCGTTTCATCGATCAAACGCCTATCACCACCGGTCCTTCGAGAAGGATCTAGTAGACCTATACAACATCAAAGCGATGGGGGACCTTACCTAGTTTCTCGGTATTCGCATCGTCCGCGATCGAGCTCTGCACAAAACCTGGCTAGTCCAAGACGCTTTCATCGACAAGGTGTGCGCTCGATTTAGCATCGAGGCTGTGGGCAAGGCTCCAGACGTCCCGCTGACGGAGAACTGGATGCCACAGTCTACTAAGGAGACTGATACTGCTCGTACGAAACTCTACCAGCAGCTTGTTAGTTCCCTTGCATACATTGCTGTCTGGGGTAGACCTGACGTCGCTCGAACGCACGTCGTCTTCGCCTGCCACCTCACCAACCCAGGACAGTCTCACGTCTCGAAGATCCGCCAGACCTGGCGCTACCTGCTTAGCACGAAGGCTCTCGCTCTTGAAGCCTCTGCTAGCGCGCAAGACATAGCTGAGTATCTCTCCGACGATCCGACGTATCGCGATCCTCTCTTCTTTGGATCATCCGACGCCTCGTATGCTGACGAGCCTGAGACGCGCCGCAGCTCTCAGGGGTACGCATTCAAGTTTAGAGGACTTATGATCGACTAGAAATCTACTGTCCAGCGCACAGTCACAAAATCAACCACAGAATCTAAACTGCTCTCACTTTCCCTCGCAGCCTCGCAGATAGAGGAGTGGATGCGCTTCTTCGCTGGTATTGACCTTACGCTCGACTGCACGCCTACCATCTGGTGCGACAACCAGCAGACTGTTAGTATTGTCACGAAGGAGCATAATAAGCTTCATACAAAGATTAAGCACGTCGACATCCACCAGCTCTGGATTCGACAGGAGGTCACCGCCTCACGCATTAACGTCAAATAGGTACCTACTGATCATATGCCTGCTGATGGACTCACGAAGGTACTGCCAAAGCAGAAATTTATGGAGTTTGTCCGCTAACTTGGCCTCGTGGATATCACTGAGCGCCTGAGGGGACTACGTTAAGCTAATGGAGACGACCTCGACGGCATCTATATACACTGATCCTGTTCAGCTGTCGTTGACTCCCTGCCTGCGCGTCTACGCCAGCTGGGGGGTGTGTCACGGTTTGGGGTCTCTCCTGCAGTCGCAACTCACATTTGTAATGGAACGATGCCTATTTGGGACTAGCACGGTTGACGTCACCCATCTACATAAACTTTCCATAGCTTGTACAATACAACCTCAGTTCAATCCTTCAATTCTCCGCACATGCGCACTGTTCACTCCACCGCAACACTAGATAACGTTCTTCTAGTCTTCAATCGTCTAGTCTTTATGCTTAAGACACTACTTAAGCCGAGCTTCCTTTATCTTCTTCGTTAATCTAGGCTTCTTCGTTGGCTTCGTCTTTTTGTAGCCTGCTTTCTTTAAGATTCGCCACACTGTAATATCTGAGATATCGAATCCCTCTTGGCTAAGCGCGCCGGCAATGTTAGCGCAAGACCTCTCTCGTCTATAGTGATTAGTGCGTACGCTATTGACTACCTTCTCTAAGAACTCTCCCTACTTTAATAACCGACCAGAGCGAGAAGCATCTTTAAGATACTTGTCTTGGATCTTAATAGGCCGTTGGCAAGGATCAAAGCTACGCTTAATAGCTTAAGCAAATATATCATTAATTGTCCGCTTTTTAATACTAGTTAAAAAGGTAATCTCCTCGTTCGACTTACCAGTAGCCTTAAGAGAAACAACAAGAGCACGTGTAGAGATATCGTAAGGAGCTATAATTAGGTGTAGAAGACAGCGACGACTGCTGCATGAGGTTGAATGAAAATGCCACGTCAGCTCGGAGATATGTCCGAATTAAGAATGTGGCTGATACCCCTGCTCGCCAAGGTGGGCAAGGACTTTTGAAAGGCACCTCCGTACGTCGTAATCCGGCACGCTTAGGGTAGGACGCTTGCTCTTCTGAGGGGTAGTCGGCGGCGGAATCTCCGGTCTAAACGACAAGAACTCTGACGTGTCTGATCGTTGTTCGGGAAGATCGGTTACAGGCTGTCGCTTGATTTCCCTCTTTGATCCGCTACTACTGCTGGTTTGGCCGCTACTCATACGCGCTAAACCAAGAACTAGTGTTGCATAAAAAACAAGAGTAATAGCCAAAAAGGTTGTGCACAAAGATGTTACCGTTGCTTTGTTGAATACTGTTTAGTGCAGCTCTCTCTTTAGAAGCGCGACTGACAACTCTTTTATCTAGTCGCTCACCGACTTTCCTGTACTTTCTGAGTACCTTTCGAAACTCTCCGCTGGCACTGCCAGCTCATCTTCTTTCTTGAAGTTGCATCTTTGACCGCTTGTTGTGTGTTTCCGATTCGTGTTCGGCCGTGACGCGGCGAATATGTGTTGATTTCTGGCCCTAGCTCCTGTCCGAAAGGCGCTTAGCCGCCTCCTAATTCCTCGCCGCCTCTCGCGCCGAGTTTGGGGGTTTGCCGCTCTCCCTAGGACCGCCCTGTTTTGCGCGTCCATTCTCGCAGTTTGAACACCTCTCAGATGTTACTGTACAGCTTTTCTCTTTCTGCTCTAGAATCTAAATAACTCTCGACTATGCTCTTATACTTTTTTCTTGTTAGGGTCTCACAGGATCAGATATTTAAAACTGTGTTGAATTACAAAGTTTTTGCAGTACCGAGTTTCTAAGAAACTTCGGTAGAATTAAATACATGTGTGGGGCAGCGGGGCCTCGGCACCCGAGGCGCCGGCGTGGTCCGTGCTCAGAACACCAAGGTTCCAAACCATGACACGTCCCCCCACGCGGGAACAAGAAAAACGCCGACTCGCAAATGTCTTGGCGCACCACCATTAGTACTACAGCACCACCAAAACAACATGTAATCTCTCATATTTGGGCTCAAATTGAAGCTTGAAGCTTTGCAATTGTATATGAAAGCTGTATACAGACTTTTTCTTGGGGTTGTAGCTCAACAGAGCGTTCAGGGTGTGTTTTCATCCCGTTTTTCTTCAGTAACCAGTCATTCTACCCTCCATATCAATGCAAGCTTGCAGTCTTTCTGGCATCTGATTAATGCGCTCATTGATGAAGCTTTGTGATACTTTCTGCCATCCCTCGGAGGCCAGTTCTCTCGTTTCGAACTCATCCCAGTGCGGAAACTTCTTGAGATGTTGTTTCATCACTTGCCAGCAGTTCTCTATGGGTGAAAGATCAGGAGAATTCGAACAATTGAAGAAGAAATCGAGGTTATTCTGGCGTTTCCAGGTGGCTACAATGTTGGAAGAGCTTCCACCTCCATGCCCGGAATCGTTGTCTTCTTCTAGGATAAAGGGGGGATCATTTTGGACCCATTTCTTCACCACAGGCTCCAGGATTTGATCCCGATACACATGAAGAGAGAGCTTGCCGTTTCGGTTGGTTGGATTTGAGTAAAACGTGAGGTTTGACTTGAAGTTGTAGCCAACAGCGCCCCAGATGTGCGAGGTTTCCCACGTTCGTTCATCATCTCGATTCAGCTGCTCTTGAATACAGTCACTACAGTAACGCTCCCCAGGCTTCCGGATAATCCGAAGCTTGCCTTGAGGACCTACACGGCAGTGTACTTCATCTGAAAAGCGTACGTCTCGCCAGTCTTCTGCGGTAGGTTTGAGTGCAAGCATCGTTTCAGAATGTTCAACTCTCTTCTTCGCAAGCTTCCTTGAAACCCAGCCTTTTGTACATGCAATACACTTGTGATAGTCCATAGAACCGAGCACGGAGCGAAGAGTGTTGCCAGAAACGTCGAGCTGAAGCTCCTCTGCAAGTTGTGGCCACGTCAGGACTCTTCCATCCCATCCGACATCTTGAAGGAATCTGTCGCAACGTTCCAGGTCTTTCTGGCTCAACTTTGGCTTTCTTCCGCGCTTTTCTTCGGTTGTAGGATCATTATGATGCGTCCGATCGTGCTCTACTCCCTTCTCCTTCAATATAGCCCATCCTTGTTGCTTAGAGACGTGGTTGAAAGCGAAGAGATCAGTATGTAAGTATGGTATACCTTTTGCATCCATGAACTCAGCTGCACCCTTAATGCGAGCCTTTTTAGGTGTGTCAAAGTTGGAAATCCCACTCTTTGACATGGCGAAAAAGATGCGCGAAAATATCTAGGGTTGTATAGGATGATGGTTGAGTGATAGGGGGTGCGCATGGGGCGTGTTGGGATGGAAACATTTAGTTGGGGCGCGGAGCTCCCGGAGTCGGCGTTTTTCTTGTTCCCGCGTGCCCCCCTCCAAAATGCTCAAAGTCCCGACTGAGCGTTCAAACTTCCATTGAAAACACAAAGCAGGGCAACGGCAAGCTGCCCGTTGTCGTCATAATCATGAAAGGTGGCGTGAGGCCCAGGGCGCCCAGGGTTGCGGTCGTGAAAGTCCTGGACTGACTCCTTGCTGCCGCGCAGGTTGAAGTAGGGTTGCCAGCCTTCAGACTGGTCGTTGCCGACCCATTCAACTTTGTACTGGAGGCAACCACGGCGGCCAGTATAGGGGTCGTTCATTGTATTTCGTATGCGGGAGTCTAAGACTTGAGCGATAACATACTCTGTGTCGCCCTCATCGTTCAAATGGACTTCGGGGGGAGCGTTGTCGTTAGCTCTGGGCTGTCCAGGTAGAGCGTCATCCTCATATGGTTGGAGCAGCCACGGATGAAAAGCGGGAAAAATGTTCTTAAGGCTATCTGGCAGGTCTAGCTCATAGGCCATGTTGTCAATAACACGGGTAATCTGGTAGGGACCCATATTCTTGTGGTCTAGCGACTTGACTGGCCTTTCGGTCTTAATATGTTTAGCGTTGAGGAGCACCCAGTCGCCAACAGCGAAGCGGGGGGCTGGATGGCGGTGGACATCAGCGAAGTCTTTCATGCGTTCCTGGGTCCAGGCGATCTCATCGCGGAGGTACCGACGGGTTGCGTCAATGCGGTTTGTGAGGGAGTCAGCAGCGCGCCGCTGTGCTGCAGCTGGGGTGGCGTTAGTGATGGCGTGGGCTGGTTCTAGGCCGGAGCGAGGTTGGTAGCCCTTTGTTGCTTGAAATGGGGAAACTCCAGTAGCGGAGCTTATAGCGGAGTTGGCTTCGAATTCAGCTAAAGGTAGGAGCTGGGCCCAGTCATCCTGCAGGTAGTTCACGTACGAGCGCAGGTACTGCTTCAAGTCCGCGTTGGCGTTTTCTGTTTGGCCATCTGTCTCAGGATGATAGGCAGTTGAGAGCTTTGGTGCTGTGCCGACGCGGTCGCAAAGGCGGCGCCAAAAGTGGGATGTGAATTGGCGGCCTCGGTCTGAAACTAGGGTCTTTGGGTAGCCCTCTTCTCTCCAGATGTATTCGAGAAACTTGTCGACGATAGTTAGTACCTCCATGTTCTCAATGGCGATAAACTTCTTCTTCTTCGACAGCCTATCCACGACCACCATGATGTGTCGGTATGAGTGGCCGCACCACTTTGAGGGTGGCAGCGGCGTAATGAAATCGATAGAGATGTCCGTCCAGTATTTCTCTGGCACAGGCAATGGGTGCAGGAGGCCATGCTTAGCGTGGCGGTTGACTTTGGAGCGCCGGCAGGTGGTGCAGTTGTTAGTGAACCTTGCGATAGTGTCGGTCATGCCTTGCCAATAGTACCATTGGCTCACCTGCTGGTATGTTGTGGTGTCGGCTACTAGCAGCCATGCATGGCTTGTGGTTTTCTAGGCAGTTGCGAATGCAATGGTCTGAGTTGAATACTATTGACATAGTGTCCCAGTTTACCTGGGGGTTGTGGATTTGAAACCAGGGAGTGCCAAGGATCATTTGCACTCCGCTAACTTTGGTCACATAGGCAAGGACTTGTTCATGGTGGGTGTCGAAAGTTACGTGTACCCGTGTCATATGGGTAACGTTGGCAACTTGGGTGCCGTCTGCGAGCTCCAGGACAGCTGGGTCTTGGAGCGGAATTAATTCGTATTTGTGTGCGCGAGCATGAGATTCATCAATGAAGAGAGAAGCACAACCAGAGTCACCCATGAGTTCTACGTGTGAGGATGGTTGTTGAGAGGGAGATATCATCCCTTTGAATACTAATTGCTGACCTACCATAGGGAGATAAGTATTGCCACGAATAGCGGCGGCTGCGATGGCGGAGACGCGAACCCGTGGGGCAGCAGGGCGTTCCAGGTTCTTGATCCGGTCCAGGATTGCTTGCAGTGTGGGGTCAGGTTCAGTGTCGTTGTCGTCGCAGTCTTCGGCAGTAGGAGAAGGGGGCGTTGTAGGTTCAGGTGTATTCAAGGGTTCTTTATTGAGTTTCTCAGGCTCTTGGGGTCCCTGGGGGCGACTTTCGCCAGGGACTACTCGTTTTCCGAGCGGGCGTCAGAGGCGGCCGCTGGAGGAGTAGGGGCTCGGACGGCGTTAATGCGTACGGCGGCCTTAGGGATAGGGACGCCGGCGGCCTTGCGGGCTTCGTTCAAGGCGGTGAGGACTTCGGGGTAGCGGCCCATTGAAGTGAGCTTGTCCATGTCCTTGCAGGGCGCGTCGTCGGAGTTAGACTTGTGGCCTGCACGGGTGCACTTGAAGCAGCGTTCCAATTCAGCTAGGACCTGGGTCTCCATGACAGTGCGCTCCCTGTAGGGTTTGTTGATAATAAATTGGTTGGCTCCGCTGCCTTTGGGCTGCGCGTTGTCGGCGTTGCGATTGCGGTTGCGGTTATTGCCGCCGCCGCCACGACCGCTACCTCCACTATTACCCTTGCTAGGGTTGTGAGAGGGCTGGAGGGCGGAGTGAAGTTGTTCGAGGTGTCGGAGCTTGTGGCTGAACTTGGCAAAGTCCTTGGTGAAGGTGTCGTCGCTCATGAGGTGCTCCGCTCGGCTGCGCCACTGGTCTGGCAACTTCTTGTAGGCTTGCAGAGTCTTTTCCTCGTCGTCCCATTTCAAGGGAGCGACGCCGGCTTTGAAGCGGGCCAGGTAGGAGGTGATAGTCTCACCAGGCTTCATGAAGCCTTCCTTTTCGTAGAAGTTGTGGGCATCTAGGCGGGTATTCAAACGGCCGTAGCAGGCGTCGAGGATATCCCACGCTTCTTGTGCAGTATGGAACTCGTCTCCTTCGACAAACCATCCGCTCGAGATATTATCCCAGGCTACGCCGGTGGTTTTCATGCGGATGTAGTCTAGTTGCTCCTCCTCGTTGTTGGCGAAAGGGTACGGATGGGCACGGAACCAGCTCTGCATGTCGAGTTTCCATTTCTGGTAGGTAGAGGCCTTTGTGCCTGTAGGGCCCTCAAAGACCGCGGGTTCAGGTTGTTTAGATCGTCGCTGCGTTGTGGCGGGCAGCGGAGCGTCAGGGCTAAGTTTGGTAGCTGAGCGGTGGCGGCGTACGCTAACGGGTCCATCTGATTCGTCAGAGATGGAGTCATGCGGTTTGCCGCGTAGAGATGGGCGCGCGGTGCTAGCATAGGCTTTAAGCTTTTCTTTGGTTTCGCCGTGCGCGGTAGACTCTTGGTTAAGGGCGGTCTTGTACTCCTCCTTGCGCTGGAGGTAGCGTTCGGCTCGTCGCTCAGCGGTGTCGAGTTTCGACTGGAGGTCTTGGTTGGGCTACGTGGAGGCTGCCTCTCACCTCTTGAAGCTGGTTTGTAAGGAACTTTACCTGCTTTTCGGAGTTGAGTTTGGCGACGCGCTCGTCGATGAGGTCTTCCTGAGCGTCCGTCAGGCGCTCTTGAAGATTGGCGAGGTCGTTATGTAGGGTGTGGACGGTGTCAAAGCAGAACTGGTAGAGTTTCTCTCCAGCTTCCGTGGTTGAGCCTTTAACAAAAGCTTCGTCAAGTTCTCCTACTAGCCTGGGCTCGCCGTTGGCGTCGTACTCATAGGCGGCTAGAGTTGGCTGACTGCCTTGAGGCAAGTCAGTTTTGGGGATTACGTAGCCAATGACTTTGCGGACGGGCTTTGAGGTAGTCCCCTCTGTGCGTGGCGTAGGCGAGGGTAGCGGGTCCCATGTAGGCGGAGAGAGGGCGTAGCTAGTATGGTTGCCGTCTTCTGTTTGGTACGTAAAGGGGTTATCAGTGCGCTGGGCGTCCGACCGCTGTCGGAGAGCGGGGTACTGAAAGCCTGCGCGGCCGCGGGTTGTAGTGACGTTAGGCGGGGACGGTTGAAAGGAGTCGCTAGAGTCTTGAGCGTCTACGACAGGTGATAACGGGCGCGATGGTACTAGATGGTGGATTTGGGTAATGTCGGCCTCGTCGTTATCTGAGTCGGCGTCATAGCCCTGCTGCTCTAGCTGCTCGTTTCCGAAGGCGCCAGGTACAGCTGGGTTGCTGATTTGGCGTAAGTTGGCGGACCCGGTAGCGCGTGGCAAGGCGCTGCTGCGGGCGGTGGAAGCCACGGTAGGTCTAGCGAAAGACCTCGCGCTCTTACCGGGGCTGATCGTTGCACCGGCGGTAGGGTTGGCGTCGCTGCCCGAGGCGTCTCCCACATGGGGCGCGTCGGCGGCATTGCCGTCTGGGAACTGGGTGGACATGGCGTTGGTCTACCGTGTCGCGGGAACTGTGGGGATCTGCAACTAGCCGCACGCGCTGGGTTGCTATTAGAGCGCTGTTAGAGCGCTGTCAGAGCGCAGTTAAGGCGCTGTCAGGTTAGGAGCAACTGGCCAAGGACGCCAGGTTGCTGTCAGAGGCGTTTAATGGACTGCAAAAACGTGTTAGGGTCTCACAGGATCAGATATTTAAAACTGTGTTGAATTACAAAGTTTTTGCAGTACCGAGTTTCTAAGAAACTTCGGTAGAATTAAATACATGTGTGGGGCAGCGGGGCCTCGGCACCCGAGGCGCCGGCGTGGTCCGTGCTCAGAACACCAAGGTTCCAAACCATGACATTCTTGTCTTTTTCTTATCGATAACTGTCTTTCTGCTGTACTTCTAGTCTTGGCATCCGTGCCGCGAGGCTGTCTCAGCCTTTAGGGTTCTGGTTTTCATGAAAACATGCTAGTTACAAACTTCCTGGATATTGCTATCACGAAAGTCTGTTAGAAGAGTGCGCAAACAGTTTGCGCGCAGCCCTCGTAAGGTTGAGAAGCTGGAGGTTTGAGTTTCAATCGGTCGCTATATGTAGTGGAGGATTTTCCCAGAGGAACGTGTGCTCGATGCAAGTATTAGAGATTAGATTGTTGTGTGTGTGTGTAGGTGTCTGAGTG